TTTCAGTCAATAAGTCTGTTGGAATGGACTGCCTTTTGAAGCAGCAAATTTGCTTTCTTGATGAGTTCAAGCAGAGGCAGGACACTATCTGGAGTATTATCTAGTGATTGCTTGACAGGAAAGTGGGTCAAAACAATTTCTTCTGCTTCTTTCTAAATGTCTAGATGCTAACATAGGGTTGAAGAAGTAAGTTAGTGGCCAGACAGTAAATGAACAACTTTCCCTTTGTCATTAAAGGCTATAGGGGCTCATTACATTTTGTCACACAGAAAAAGATTAGTTTCCTAAGTGCTCTGCATTCAAGATGAACCAGGAATGAGGAAATTTAAAAGGCACAGATAACAAGAAACCTCTAAAAGCATTCCACTCCATTATGTCAGTTCCCAGAAAGAGCCAAGATAGTGTATTCCTTAATCACAGACCAGAAGTTTTCCAGGGATGTATCCAATCCATTCCAGTCAAATCCATCTCATCCCATCCCATCCCATCCCATCCCATCCCATCCCATCCCATCCCATCCCATCCCATCCCATCCCATCCCATCCCATCCCATCCCATCCCATCCCATCCCATCCCAGTCCAGCCCAGTTCAGTCTAGTCCAGTCCAGTCCAGTCCATTCAAATTATGACTGAATGATAGTAACAGGAACCATCATAAATATTTCATTCTCTCTTAGAAGAACATTTTTTAACAATAAGATTTTTTTCAAAAATAAGTAAATATTTTCTGGGTATTCCATATGAAGCCTGAAAAACATTTCTTTCCCTTTGAGATCATATTTCCCAGTTTAGGAAGTTTGAGGATCTTGAGTTCTTTAGGCTTTGTAGATTATTTTAAGAAATGTTATTTATGCCACACCCAGGATCATATGTGCATTTTAACTGGAACTAAATGTATCAGAAATAACACATTTGTATATATTGTTATAGTATTCTAAAATTTTAGTTCTATGTAATTTATTTCTTTAATAATTAAATGCTGATCACATCCTACTTATGACATAATTTTCTTTCTTTCTTTCTTCCTTTCTTCCTTTCTTCCTTCCTTCCTTCCTTCTTTCCTTCCTTCCTTCCTTCCTTCCTTCCTTCCTTCCTTCCTTCCTTCCTTCCTCC